GAGCCGGGACACGGCATCACAGTATGGTAAGAGGCATAACATTTCCGTCACACGCTTGAGGTATTCGGCCAATCACAACTCACTGGATAGCTGGCCAATCAGCGTACACCTCGCTTTTCAGAACGATGAGCTTTGTAAAAAAAGGCGGGGCATAGAGGAGCAACAATAATGTACATTATGTAGAAAATAATGTTTTTTTAACCTTAAACTGCATAAACACATTGCATTACACCAAATACACAACATAATGTTCTTTTTAGCAACGTCATATGACCCCTTTAATTGTCAAATTAAGCAGAAAAAATTCCAGTAACTAAACACCGCCTACATAATAACTGAGCTGGGCTGACTGGAGTTTGTTTGAAGACAGTATGGGTGGTACACAGACCTCCCCTCTAATTCACATTCCTTCCATCCGGAGAAGATGAATTAGGAAGAAAACAAGAAAAGAACGTCAAGTCCCCGACCAGGATGAAAGCTCTCCCACTTAAGAGAATATTAGGAGAGTAAACTACTTCAGCAGTGGGAGACAAAATATCAAATTAGCCTCATTCAACATCAAACAGAATAACTGAAAGTAAATGACTACTTTTTTTACAAGGTGTTTTCACCTGCAAAAATATATAAATTCCACACTTATGTACATCATATATATTATATTATATTTATTATATACAAAAAATAAATGAATAATAAAACAACTTAATACAACATCAGACTTTTTTGCAAAACCTGCTTGTCAATAAATTCTAGAAATATACAGTTATCGCACTGTCACTTACTTTGCCCCACTTCAGAACTTAGATCATCATATTTTACATATTATATTATATGTAACAACTAAATATCAAAACGGCCCTTGCAAACCTCTAATCTTAGGGACAGAGGGAGGATGAGAGGAACATTCAGTAGATCAATGCAACACTAAGGCTGCTGGACAATCTCCCCAGATTTATGATCTCTATGGCAGACAGTTGAATACAGTCCATCTGCAACTCTCACAATGAACAATATTTTACAGCATCTGCCAGCTGTAGCTCATACATATGCTCTTTTTGTCTCTTACTGGCACCCTTAATTAGGCCGCCCAATCACTTTGCTTCATAAAGGCCGTACTGTCATAGAGACAAGAATCAACTTCTCTTGGCACACAGGGAATAGCAGGCAAAGCAGTGATAACATTTTTAGGGTCTGGGCAGATTTATAATTTGACCCTCCTTTGCCATTCAGGTTTGATCATGGGGATTAGAGATATACCTGCTGTATGATAAGAAACAAACGACTTAATATTTACAATGGCAAATTCAATTCACCACCCTCAGGCAATAAAGTCAAACCCAACAGGGTAAGGCGATGTGCACCTTCATCTTGGTTGTAGATTAGCTGGCTGCTTATTACGGTTCATCTGTACTAATAAGCAGCAATAAACAGAGGCCTATTTTGGGTTATAAATTAGCACCAGTCAGTGGAGCTGTTACTGTCCCACTGATAAGCTTTATATCTTCTGACTTTTGTTTGCCTCTGTCTCTCTTTGTGAATGAGGTGATCCATGTAATTTCCAACATCAATGAAAACCAGACATCTTACAGCGGTCTCTGGCACAGAGAGAATACTCAACAAATAGCTTAAATGATAAAACTGTCATTCTGCCTGTGAATCACTGAATCACCCCAGATAAACTGGCAGGATGGTCCAAATAACCAATTGGAACCAGAATTCCAAACACTGACAGCTCTGTTTCCTGGGAAAACCCTCCAAAGCAGAATGGCACTCCTGTATTACAATGGAACACTTAACTTAAGACCATCTTCTTTATTAAAACAACAATTGCTACAGAGCTCAGATGTATTTCCACCTGTTTCTACACATTCGCTGATCACATGTCTAACAGAAAGGGCACTAGATCAGATTAACACATAACTTCAACACATGTTCAACTTTGAGGTAATTGATTGCAAGAACGTGAAACTCACTTTGTCAAGCTTATAATACTAACGGTTTCTGCTGAGAGTCTGCTGATGATTGAGTGGTATTGATACAATATATGATCCTAAACTAAACCTAAACATACCACCATACTGAAAACCTGATGTTTGCCACCATCACTGAAGATTTTTATCCTGTGTAATATAGATAGACAGACAGAGAGAGAAACAGATAGATAGACAGATAGATAAATAGACAGACAGTTGTTCATACAAAAATCTTACTGGATTACTATATTTTAAAATGAACTGTAAATGAATTTAGAATTTGGTATTCCTGGTATTTTACTGGCACACTAAAGAAAACGATACAAAAAATACTTTGCAAAGCATCTAATGTGCTACAACCTTTGCACAGTACTGTATATATAGTCACACACACACACACACACACACACACACACACACACATACATACATACATATTTCACTGAATATAGCCATATGCACTGACGTATATATACATATGTAAATATGTGCATATATACATATACTCACACAGAAGGGACACTCTCTAGGTACAGCTCTGTAAACAGCGAAAAGCAAGTCACTTACATTCTGAGTCTGACCATGCTGTATGAACTGGCAAATTTCAACAAGTACACTGTCTGAGAAAGTTTATGCCAAGCACACACTGCCTAGGCCCAGACAGCAGCAGGCATTTACCCACACTTAGTGTTGCTCTTTCTTTCTCAACAGCTCCTAACACATTTTTTTTTTAAATGCCTCCCTAAGGAAAATAAACATGATTCGGCCCAGTGAATACATTTGTCCTTCGAAAAGAATATAAAAGATCTAACTGTTTAAACAGCTGTGAGGATACTCTGTCCTTTCAAACATTTTTGAGAGACAAGCACTGAAATAACACAGTTCTTAGAGTCACGGCCAAAGGGTCAGATATTAGACAAATGACAGATCTCTTTCTGATGACACAACAGCATGTGTGAGAGGTTGTGTACCGGTTATCAGGCCACATGAATCTAAACTCTGATTTACAGTTCATGAACCTAAATTATTCTCAAGCATACTGCAACACCCATACTTACTAATTATGTTAAAGATAATTTTTTTAAACACACAAACTCTTTTTGAATCTTAAAGAAAAATTAATACAATAAATCATATATATTTTATTATTACAGTGTCCTTTATATATATATATATAT